TTATTTTTTGTGGAAACACGAAATAATTGATTTTTTTTGTTTGTCTTTTGAAGGAATGTTAAATTATATTCACACAAAAAAATACTATTTGTTACATCAAATGTTTTTTGTTTTTGAAATATGAGAAAAAGAGAGAAAGTTTAGAAACCTAATTTGAGAAAGAGTGAAAGTAGAAGAATAGTTTCAATTGTGACTAGCGAACCATGTCGCACAAAATTTCAAAATTACAGAATAGTTTTACCAAACTAGTATATTTTTTTATGAGTTACCATTAGTTTGTGGTTTGCATACATCATTTATTTTTTTGATCATCTATATCGATTATACATAACGCTGGTGTTACACAAAAAAAACAAGAGTCGGTAAGCGAATAATCCCAATCCGTAGGCATGAAAGCATGGAAACTAATCTCAACGGAATCTATTACTTGTATGTTTGCATCATTATATAGATCATTTTACTTAATATAGCAGATAGTACACTTGTTACTTGTATGTACTTCCAAGATTAGACACATGATGTGACCTTAAATTTTGGTTGATATGATTCAACGAATATTTTAGTCTCCAAATTTTGAAGGGTAAATGAGAATCATAGATTTTTTTTAGCATAAGGATCGTGTTTAGTTTAAAGGCTGTTGAGAAACGATTGTGTGATGATTTGGGTGACTAGTAAATTCTTAAGTGAAAAATTAGTGTTTGTTTAATAATAGAGAATCAAGTTGAACTAAAGAAGTGTTTGGTATTGAGTTTTACTTACCTTGTTCTCTGCATTTACAAAAGCCCAAAATCTAAGGATTCGTTTACCACCAACCACCAAAATACTAAATGACAAAACTTATCAATATCTAAAACAGTAAATAACTTAAAAGTCATAAAACCATATAGGGAATGATTCGTTTAAAGACATCACCAAGATATTAAATGATAAAACTTATCAACCAAAAACGTTAAATAATATGTTGACAAAAAAGGATATTACGTAATATAAAACCATATATAATGATATACAACAATAGTTTAACGTAGGTCCAAAACATCTGGTGTGCCGGCCACCACCACCAACAAGCATTTGTATGCTCCCCATGAACATGAATTGGTTACGTTATAAAAATTTCCTGACTATTTGGAATTTTTTCTTTTGTGATAATGTCTATATGCAATTTAGTAACCATATTCCCATGTATAAAACTTTTGAATAAGAAAAAAATAGTTGAAATATTTTTTCTTCAAAAGTAAACATGAATAAATATTTTTTCGTAAATAAAAATGAATAGTTTATATTTAAGTGAAGAGCATTTTCAATGGAAATATCTCAATGCG